TCAGCTCTCGACCCTGTTTGTCCAGCTTTGACGAACTGAGCCCGCTTCTCTCTTCGTTTGCCAGGAGAGAAAGTTTTTATTGGCTCGACCTCATCACATGCAGAGACATTACACACAGGCCGTGTTGACTCAGATAGAAGTCAATGCCTGAGCACGAAAGATGTAGGTTTGTCCAAGTTTACAGACGCTAAATCCCAAGAGTCACAAATTGTCTGTTAGTCTCAGAAACAAGAACTTTGTGTACAGCAGCACTGACAAGGCACAAAATAAGGGGTTTTTTGTGCGTAATTGTGGTTAGTCTGATTAACAGGATGTAGACAGTTTGTGTTAGCTTGCTCTGGCTGCCAATTTAGAAATAAATCTCCCCTCCTTCTGATATCATTGTGTCAGCACTTTAAATATCCCTGTGGCTACATAAAATGACAACAAGCTCTCGGAAAGCAACAAAATTGCAAGTATGGCCAAAGACTAGTTTAGCTCAACCAAATAAGTTCCCTCCTTAAACCACTTTGCAAAATGTTCAACAATCCCTGAATATGTCTGGGTACTGATGTAAAATCAGTCCAAGAGAGAGAGAACAGGAACATTCCTTGACTTTCTGGTTTAACACCAAAAAAGGAATATGTGTTTTTGACACTGCAATCAGAATTTTAAAAAGAACAAAAAGGAGTTTCACATTTGCGCACATTGTGCTTATTGCTCTTAATTTTGATTCACTTACAGCAATACAATTGTGTTTAATATTCCATTAGCATTACAAAAAACAAACTGCTGCTACATGGCGTGCATTTTCAAATTTGCATGCAAACATTATTCTTAAAAGTTTAAAATATATTCTGAAGATGCACTGTAAAGAGTCTCTACACTATCCTCTTCATCACTTAGTCAAACTTTGAGCTTTTGTTTGAGGTATATGAAGTACTACAATGCTTTAACGATGGGACACATGTTATGACACAGAACCCCCTCGGTATAAAGTGCTGAAAATAAAAAAAAGTCAACGTGCGTGTGAGGATTCATGCTCAGCTGATTGAAGTGAACCTGACTCTGTTACATGAGAGACAGCGGGCGGGGGACTAATTGACTTCAGGTGTGTGTGGAGGCAGTGTGCCTCATTTTTCGGGCTACCGGTATTTACAGCATTTTCACATGAGCTGTGCAGAAGATACCGACCCATTGTGGACATTTTAACAACAAGAGACCACCCAAGATATTGGAATTTAAATGCGCTCAACATTTAAATCTGAATCAGAGACACATAAGTGAGCTTGAGTGGTGAATTTTATTGGCTTTAGTGCTGAGCAAGGCCAGCTTTTTCTTCCTGTTTACAGTTTTTGAGCTAAGCTAGGTTATAATTAGCTTACCAGTAAGAGCTTAATTTGCTGTGATTCATTGTGTTTGTATAAATTGAGCAAAACAACTAAAAACGTACTGAATAGTAAGGTTCAGTGGTAGATTTCCATACCTGTGTAAAGAGATAGGCTAGCTTCTCGTGCCTGTTTCCAGTCTTTATGCTATGCTATGCTATGCTAAGCTAACTGACTGTAGCTTATTTTTACACTAGCGTGGTGTCAAACTTCTCTTTTAAGTCTCACCAAGAGTGAAGACAGGTACATTGTCCAACATAATCAGCTGTTCCTTTTTCAAAAACTGACTTCAAAACGTGTTTAGCCAAATGCTGGTTCATCCTAAGGGTTTTAACAAATCTCACAAATGTATTGTTTCCATTTGTAAACTATCTACAGACTTCCAGGTGCATGTGCAGACTCTGTGTAGAAACTGGCATTGCATTTAATGAAGGTTTTTTACTGATATAGCTGTTCTAGCCATTATTAGGTTTCAGGTCTTTATACAAAGGTAGGCAAAGCTAAGCTAACCAGGATTAGCCTTGTTTAATGTACAGATATGAGAATGGTTTCAATCATTTGACCCTCAGCAAGAAAAACAATAAGCACTTTCCCAAGATGTAGAACAGTGTTTTGAGACAATTTCTGTTTAAAAAAAGAGGATTTTGGGGTTTGAACAAACCAGATTTGTTCCCACATTCTAACAATCTAAAAAAACACCAAAACACTCGCAAGCATTGTTCAAATATTTTGTCTATTGCATTATATTTTCATTTTGCTCTCCAAACAACTACAAAACACCCTTCCTTCCTGTCTTTCCCTTTCCTGGGGAAAGTAATCTGCATCACTGTGGGGAAGGATCTTTTTGCTAGACAATATTAATCAAATAGCTGAGACGTTCTTCCATGGTAATCACATTAAGAGTCTAAGTGGTTCAGAGTTTCCTCTCTAATTATTAAACCAAAGCTCTCTCTTGTCTTTGGTGTTTCCAAACCACATTAAAGAGGAAAATCCTCTCAAAAAGTGCTCGCTCTTGGTTTTGGATTTTAGTGAAACTGGGCCAAGAACTAAGGGGGCAGGATTCACACTTAGCCTCCACACTGAGGTTTGGATGTGTCAGTGAGTGTGCTCCTTCTCTGCCAGCTTTGGCAAAACAACTCGTACATGTGTCACAGACCTCACCTCCTCGGGTCTCAGACTTGCTCTCTCTACAGGGTTTTCCTTGGCAGGGGACAGGGGGAGCGACTAAGGTCCAAGATAAACAGAGACACGTTACAGGGGAGGACAGATGGTTTCAGAATGGCTAAGAGTCTGAAACTAAATATCTTTGTCACACCAAAGCTAATCTGCGGCTGGTCCTTTACAGTAGTGTTATAACAGATGTTAGCCTGAAATGGCAATGAATTAAACTTTGCTCTTTTTTTGTGAGATTATGTTTTCTGATAAACCGAGCCCACCCAGAAAAATCTTTTCCCGAGACAAGTCAAGAAATAAGAAAAAAAATGAAAAGGTCTTCGCTAAGAACAAGCAACCTCTGGTCTTCAAAAATGAAGCTACGAGTTGAGGCTGAAATCACTGACAAGTGGACATGATGTAATTGTTTCCCACGACTCAGTCATGCCGCTTTGCCTGTTTATACGTTGATTGAAAGTAAGGTCGAGGCAGCATTCTCCAATATGGCCACCGCCATTGTTACTCTTTATAACCTCTCTTAACCAGTGGGTGTCCTGTATGTGAAGACGTCCATGTTTCATAGAGTCTTTGGTTTAAAAGGCTGAAAGTCATCTCCTCAGTGTTTGTTTTTCCAACAAATGGTCAAAATCCTCAAAACAATTACACATTAAATCCATCACGAAGTAAAGCAGCAAATCCAAGAATCAGACGCAGGAACTACACAGAGAAAACAAGCACACTAGTTGCGGATTAATTTTCAGATTAATTACACAATAAATGTGTAATTGTAGCGCAATAAAAATACCTCTAAATGTTTTAGCGTGACAAGAAAATACTCGAGCACTTGTACAACTGAGAAACAAAACTTTTCATATATTTATATATAAAGGATGATACTACAATACACAAAAAATATCAAGTTAAAAAGGAGAATTACAGGGTCAAAGGACCTTTTGTTCTTACATTCATATTACTGCCCCCTAGTGGTGGTTTGCACTCAATGCACCTGTGCAGAAAGTTCAATGAGTAGCATAATGTTACAGTACAAGGAAAAAACAGTTTTTGATCTTAATCATTTTAAAGAGAAAAATCTTGTAGGCTTTAACAATTCACTGCCTTCAATTTACTGAACAGAACAATAAAAGTAATTATGATTAATATGACAGCAACTGTGTAAAATGGAAGAACATTTGAGTTATTTTTCTCAGTCTAGCAGCCACAGGGCAAAAGACATGAACAATTTCTATGTAATCCACAACCCACAATTCCTTGGGCCTGGGTCCCGGCTGTCTGCTTGGACTCCTTCCGTAAACAAGATCTGATTTCTGAAATTGACGCGCTTGAGGTAACGTTCCCATGCCTCGATTTTAAAAAGCAGCTCAGGGTTCCAGGTTTGGCAAACACAATCAGAGAATCAGACACAAAGGAAGAAAACAGAAAACATGCAGGATAGACGAGACAAAGAAGGTGAGGAGCTCTGCAGCCAAAACTAAACACTTTTTTAAAAATAAAATCATTGCCTACAATTTTGGAATTTGGATGTAAACTATTAAATTTAATAGCAGGATATGGATCCATGATTCCCACCCTGTGCTTGTATTACTCTGGTCTTGGCCCGGTCATTTTTGCTTGACCATCAGACAAATATGTAACAAATTACGGAATGTGTGTGCGTGCATAGTTTCGAGGAGAAAAAGGGAAATTCACAGTCAGGTTTTAAGGATTATGTCCAGCCTGAAATTGATCCTCCAAGATTGTCGGAAGAAGTCAAGGATCAAGACCCAAGGTGGAAAAATATAACAAACCTTTAGCCTTTCAGATTGATAAAGCTGAGATCGTTAAGACTTCCCTGCTTTTGGAGTGAATCTTGGCAGGTGACGGACAAATCTGACTGTCAGTTCAAACTTAATTTGTAACTCAAGAAGGTGCTTCAAAACATTCCAACTGTCAGCGCAATTTTCCCCCCAATTCAGCCTCACCGACAGCAAATTGAGGGAGTTTTTTTTTCTACTTTACGTTCAGATTGATTGGGAGTTAATGTAAGATTAACAAGGTTCCACCCAAATTGCAGCACCGGACACTGCAAGATGTACTGCAGTGATGGTGAGTCATTTCCAGATGTGACAAGTTAATAAGAGAGATGAGAAAATCTTGTGTTAAGATTCAGAAACATCTCATAATCTCACGGAAATGATTCAAAGTGATCCAAATCCATGATTAGATTAACACTCATCGAAAATTGCATTTATAAACATATTCAAAAAGTTTGGGTGTCGCTTTAAGAAGTGCCAAAAAATTTGATTTCTTTCCGAGCACAAATCAAACACATCAAGTTTCATTCAGTTTGTCAGGAGGGTTTGGCTTCAGGCCTCTGTGCTGACAACTTTTTACTCCTGAGGTGTTCTTGAATGAAAGTCGAGTCAGGGCTAAAAGTGCTGCAGTAAAGCAGTCCATTTTTCATCATTAAAAAAACTAATTCACTTAAAGTTGTTACTTTTAATATTTTGTAAACCCAGACAGAGCAGAGCATCAGCTTTGAAGCATACACTATGTCTAGACAAAATTACATTTTACAGTAAAATAAAACAGCTCAAATAATATATAACAAAAAAAAAATAATGTGCACTTGGTTAAAATGCTAATTTGATAACAGGGAAAATTCTCACAGGGATACTTAGGGGTCGTAACTTCATAGCCCATCCAGTCAAAGAAAAATGGGCGTTAACAAAGTTCATATTTTTTATGCTGTAGGAAACCTTGATTCCAGTTTGAGTATATTTACGAGTATACTTAATGAGATATTCAAAAGATATATTTCAGTGGGACTCAACCATCAAAGCCATCAGGTCCTGTTGGCTATCCTCTTGGATCTTCTCAGACCTGGGTTTGGTTGGTCCTCTGCAGCAGCTGGTTTTCTGCTGCGCTGCGCACCAGTTTGAATGTTTTTTTTACCCTCTGTGACTTTGCTCTTTGTTGATTTACTTTGGTTTGAGTCTTGCACATTTTCTTTAGATTTTACAGCATTTTTTCTTTCCCTTCCTCGACTATTAACTTTGGTGGCCTGTGGTTCATCCGAGGTTTTTACTTCTTCTGCTTCCACTTTGCTTTCTTGAGCTTTTTGGGTGCTGATCTGCAGTTCAAGAGCTTTGTTAGCTTCCTGTGAAGTCATGTCATTTAGTCAGTACAGTAAATCCGTTAAAGCCTTCAGTTTGCACAAGTTCAGTTTAGTGAGAAAAGCAAAAATTGAATGAACATTACTTCAGATCAAATCCACTTCTCACCTCTTGTTGTGTTAGTTCAGATTTAAGGGTGAATAACTGGCTCATCAAACCCTGTATCTTCATCTGAAAACATAAACGAACTGTCAAAAATCACCCCAAAAAAAACTACACATGCATTTAAAATAGTTTGAGCTTCTCATACCTGTTCAGCGGCGACCTTTTTTTCAAGCTTGGCCTCCTTCTTCTTCCTGTTTTTAAGAGATCCATATTAGTAAATTATCCTCCTCATTTTGACAGACGTTAAATGTAGAACATCTACACATGCAGACGGATTTAAAAAATAAACAGAAGAAATAATCAATAAGCTATCTGTGTGGAATTTCAAGTTCTGGGGCTTCTCACATGAAGGATGTTGCCGTTTGTGTTTGGGATTTACATGACACATGAACGCAACAATTAAATTACTATACATTAATCTGTTAAAGGCCTTGTTGTATTGAGGTTAACATTGTCAAAAAATCCTTTTCTGTATAAATCTTCTCTGCAAAGTCAATTTCAAAGTAATTTCAAGTTAACATTTGCTGCTAATTTTCTTAGAGTTCAAAAAACATTTGGAATATAATTAGCAGGCATGCTAATAAATAAATTAGAATTATCGTAAACATTTGTAAAAGCATAATCTTGGATATTTGACCGTTTCAAATAACTCAAGGTAAAGGCTCCCAGCTTACTTGTTTGCCACCATCTTCTCCATCCGAGTGAGCTCAATCCTTTTCTCGGCCATGGCTGTTTGGACGTCCTCTTCGGTCACCGTGGCGAGGAGAGACTTGGCGTCGAGGTCTGTTAAATCTGTCAGAGGCGTGGAGGTTTTGAGGACCACCTTCATCAACCGGGTCAGGTCTTCACAGGAGGGGAACTGACGAAAAAATAAAAGTATCAACTGGAACCATTTTGATCTTCTTTACAAGACAGGCAACTTAAATACTTTTCACACAAGTTTGTAATTAGTGAGTGCATTTGTTTATAAAAAAAAACAACAACAGGTCAGTGTGCTTGTGGTCAAGCTGTCTGTCTTCTAACCTTTAAATGTCGATGGAAATGTCAGAGGTAAGATCTGTAAGGATCCATCCCCCCCTTACCTTCAGGTGAAAAGATATATTCTACAAGTAATGCTTTTTTTAGGGTCAATACAAACAGAGACTCACCTTTTGAAGCTCAGCCTGTGCTTTCTCCCTGGTTGCACATGTCAGCTCGAACGCCATCATTTGATTCTTTAACAGCCTCTGTATCTCTTCCAGATCTCCCTGCAGACAGACAAAGCATCCCAAAACATCTCAAACTAAACAAAAATGATTGCAATCACGGGAACATAACAAACATTTTTTGCAAACAAGAATGAGCAATGAGCGAGTAAGCCTGAATCACCTGCAGCTTCTTAGCTAGTTTTTCTTCCTTCATCTTCTCGATGAACTCCAAGTCACTCTGCGTCAGCTGATAGCCCTTCATCCCTTTCAGCATGGAGGTAGGGTCGTCTGGTTCTTAAGAGTTTTAAATTAAAAGAAAATAACAAGCAAGAAAAATGATTAAGGGAAGAAAATGGGCAGCTAGGACTATTGAAATCCAAATCTGGGTTTTCAAAAATGCTATTTTGTTAAGAGAGGAAAAGACTAACACAATAATGAAATTAAAAAAGCAGGAGTAAAGATCACTTTTACTTGTTTTAATCTCAAGAGGGTTGAAATCAAATGTCCTGTTTAGCTCATTTTCTTCCTGATTTCTTGAACCTGCCTGTTGAAAGAAAGCACAACAGGATTGAGTGCTTATAAGATATATAACTGGATATATGATGAAGGTTGGAGGTGAAATAATCTCAGTATGTACCTGCGCTCCCTGCTGGGTCTCCTCACAATCCTCATTCTGATCTTCATTACAAAAATCCAAGTGTCTTTTCACATCCATCATAGGAGGAGTCCTGGGGAGTTGTTGACCGGAGGGGATACAATTCCCCATGTGCCCGCTCTCTCTTCGAATTTCATTGTATCTGTCAGACATGTCTGAGGCGCCGTCTGTAAAACTAAAGATGCAGGCCCAGCCAATGTGTTCTCCTAAGTCTGACTCGAAGATTTCTGCTCTGCCTTCTCCACACTCTCTTGTTGTTTGAAAATGTGGAGCCGTTTCTCAATTATCTGAATCATTTTCACCTGTGGCTCAAAGTTTGTAGTTCCTCCATTTGACCACTAGATGGCGACATTTTCCTTTTAGTTTTGAGGCACGGGGTAAAAGTTTGTTTGAAAAGTTTAACTTGAGACAATAAATATGAAATAAAGTAAGACAACAAAAGCTGTAGAGTTATTACAAGTGTGCACTAGCAACCATCCATTTATGTTCATACATAACAGAAAGTGCTCATACTAGACTGCTGCTAGGGCTGTTACTATTACTTGAAATATATGAAGAATGTCGAGTTACATGGGAGCAAAATATGATTTCAATTGATTATTTTTAGATTAAAAAATAAGTAAGACACAAGAGGGGACTCAGTTTACCTGTGTACACATTTGAGGTACTTGAACCTTAATTTAGAGGCAATGATGACACTTTAAACTGTCTTCAAACTCCTCTGGTATACAGATCTGACAGCTGAAGTTACTCATTAATCTGTTCATTTTAATTTCACATGTAAAACATAAACCTCAGGAAAAGATTTTAAAAGAACTTTGCAAAAATAATTCAGCAAATGATACAGAAAGCAGGAAATATAGAAAAGTACATTCTGCTGATAATTCATGACTTCTAAGTGCAATTGATTTTTTTTCACACTGAATAAATCGTATTCTATCACTCTGTATGGAAACTCAAAGATACACTTGTGGCTCCATTAATCTGTACAATCTAACAGAAAGAGCAGAAATTAAAATACAGTATTCACTATCTGATCTAATTTAGAAGCTGGTGCGTGTTTGATTTTCCTCTTACAGTCGCGCTCAGGTCACAAAGTACCAGTAGCGCACACAGACAGACACATAGACAGGCAGGTGTACAGACAGACAGATGGACCCTGATACAGAATAGCCAGATAGCCAACCAAAACCCCGGTCTATCTTTAACCTGAGCCGTTGGTGTCACACTGCCAGTCCCACATGTTTGTGGAGCTCCAGGAACTCTAGAGGAGAGTGCTGAGTCGTAAATACCTCTGTTTTTAAACTGCCCGCTCCCATAATGCCGAGCGGGGAGAGGAAGGAGGAAGAGGTCAGGGAGTGTGTCTATCTGCGTGATAAATTGGTGCTTTATGACCCTGGCTCGGCCTCACCGAGTGGAACATGTTTGCATGGTTTTACATTGCAGGTGACAAATCATTCCTTAATAAAAATCAGAATTTCTAATGACATTTCTCATCTTCTTCATACCGACAATTCCTCTGCCGTGTAAGTATCTCCTACCATGTATACACACAGTGACCATGTGGACAGTGGTCTTAACACTTGTTTTTAAAGAAATATCCTTATAAATGACTCACAATGTGGCAAAATGCACCCAAAATCCCACACTTACATGATATTTAACAAGCTATAACAGTACAGTAAGATTTATTTAGTAGGAAACCAATTTTAACCGGGTACTACATATTGATGAAATGCTTAATACTTCATATGAATAAATATCCCAAATGGCAATGTACTGTAGTAGTTAGGACAATAACATGACGGGCAGTTCAGGCTAGACTTCAGTAGCATCACTTTAGCTCTCGGGTGCTGAGAGCAGTGTCCCAAAAGGCCGGTCACAGCTGCTCTGTCATGTAGCCTATTGAACAGGCAGAGCAGACGGCTCGTAAAGAGGCTGAGAAAACAGCACCCTGGTGGCTGTTAATGGAAGACAGAGGACGGATCTGACGGGTGTTCAGGTTTCACTGGGAGACTAATGGAAATGGAAAAGTGTCAATACTGTGAGAAGGATTGGCCCTTTGTTAGAGTTCATTCCCAAGAAACAAAAGACGTTGAATCATGTATGGCAGCAGAGGATAAACAGTAAAGGAACAAACTGTGCCAGGTGTTACATATTTACATACACTCCATTGTTTTCATGATAAATACAGTTAATAGTCTATAATTAGTACACAGATTTTAAGATGCTGTTTTCAGAGTGGTAGCAGCGTCGGTTTAACTGAGTGTAGTCCTCATTACAGCGGAGGTTTGTTAAAATCCGACCTTGGGCCTTTGCTGCATGTCATCCCCTTCTCTCTCACCCCAAAATGTCCTGCCTCTCTTCAGCTGTCCTATCCAATTAAAGCATTAATTACCAAGCGGTTATGTCGCGTGCCCCATGTGCGGTTGCTATATTCCTTGTTGCAGCAGCCGTGGGTTCAAATCCGACCTCTGCCCTCCGCTGCAATTTATTCCCCACTCTCTCCTCCTAACATATCCTGTCTCTTTTCAGCTCTACTATCCAATACGGGCAAACCCAAAAATATAATTGGAAAAACTGTAAACAAACAAGATGTCTATATATGGTAGTAAATGTCGGGAATGACACTGATGTCACATTATACTCAGTAAGCACACACATGTACAGATACACGTGAAATAACCACGGCCTAATCATAAACACACACACACTCACAGCCATCTGCGAGTGATGAGAGAAGGTTAGTTGGAAACCTCGAGGCCTGCACTTCTCTGTCGTGCCGCTCTCAGAGCTGTCAGTGAGGTTCATTTTGAGATGTTTGTGTGTAGTGACCAGTGTAACGTTACTGCATGCCTCAGGCCAGGGACATGCACAGTAATCAGTCCAGACCTGACGATGTGTTCTGTGCATGTTTGAGTAAATGTGTCCTGAGTCATTCGTCATTAGGGGGTTAGGTCTCACTGTGACGGGGTCCTCTTTCAATCCACCCCAAAAAAAAGTTAGGAGTTATTTTCTGCCAGGGTTACAAATGTAATTCACCTTTTCAAAACAAAGCTCAAATGCTCCTTTTCCAGGTTTGTTTACGTGCTTCATAGCGATGCTTTCACTCTTTATTTTTGTACTTTATTTGTTTCAAAACAAATGCATGGCGCTTTAAGAGAACACCATCTTTACTTCACAATGCCACTAAAATGCTTGAGAGGGCTGCAAATCAGCACAGCATGTATCCACACTTGCAGACTGTACTTTGTAATTATAATATAGTAAGAAATAGATATGCTTATATGATATGGTACAGGTTTTGTAGCTTTCAACCCAATTTGAGGGGATGTATTATGTTAAAACACAAAATCTGTATTCCCAGTCGGTATAAAATAAGTATTAGAAGTATTGAAGTTGTTCATCCACAAACAACATAAATGTAGTCTCTCATTAAGGCTTGTCTGCCCATAATGTGGATCGATGTACCATCTATAATTAAAACGGCAATCTGAGTCCTCTACGTGTCTCCTTAATTGCTGTTTTGTCCGCTTTCGAGCTCATAAGGGAAATGCGATTAATTGGTGCTGGTGTCGCATTGATTCACTGAGTGGGACATAAAAACAGCTCGACTGAGGTTCAGATCAGACGTAAATAAAAACCTTTAACGCTCAATGCAGTCTGGAACACTACAGAATCCATGTTATTCAGGATTTAGAGAGCATTTCACTTCTTTTATTCTGCCTCCTTCAGCCATTTCTTCTCTGATAAAGAAACTCCATAAAAGCACCACTCCAAGACCTGAGCAGTTTTTCATCTTAAGAGCTTAATTGAGAGTGAAAAATGCTGCGTGAACAGCTTTTATCTGTAGAGAGATCTACTCCTAATACCAGAAAATGCAAAAAATGTACATCCAATTATGAATGGACTTAGAAATGTTAAGGCGCAGGGCTAGTGTCTGCTGTAATAGATACACTTCAGGAGCAGTACAAGCTATAATCGCTTTAGAACGAACACATATATAACAGGGATTGACAACTATGTGAGACCGAGTGCCAAGAGTGAAGGTGTCAGAAAAAAGCCGGCATGCTCTCAGCCCTCTGTGGCCTTTTATTATCTCTTCCTGCTGAATCCTTTCAAACCAAACATTTATTTTTAGACTTTTTTTAGTTTGATTGTGGTTTCAACCACGTAAAGTCAGCAGTCTGTTCAAGCTCAGTGTTATTTTAATATTAAGGCATATGTTTGTGTAGGTGTGCGCCCTATTTCAGCCAGAGCAGCTGAGTCACTTCCTTATTTCCACTGTAGGCTGAAAAAAATCCATGTTTTGAAAGAAGCATTTCAAGTATTTTCTCCTCACTGAACTATTTCTTCTCTCCTTGACTCGACTAGCTTGGACACATTTTTCTGTACCCATCTGCTGGACTCTCATACTGATCTACTGACCTGACATGTTAACTGTTGTAGAGACACTTGAAACACAGAGGAAAATCTTGTGGATCATCACTACTCTGCAAGTTCATGCACCAACTGTGTATACATTTAGAAAAGAATCTGCAGATGAAGCCATAATGACAAAATGATTTCATCCAAAGTGACACTAATGATAAAAACATAAATTAGAGAAGACAATAGCAATGCACACACACACACACACACACACACACACACACACACACACACACACACACACACCTGGGTAACTAAAGGTGTCGCGTCAAAAAGAAGAACCACAGACAGCTGGAGGTCTCCGGCTGAGTCTTGACTCAATTCAGGTCACGACCACACACACACTCATAAAAGACACATTCACAGTATGTACAGGTCAATTCTTATTTAATTACCTCTGTCTGATATTTTTCAAGTCCAGGGATACCTCTGAATAGAAGTCCATTCATTTGAAAGCAGTTTATTTTAGCTCTGCATGCCCTCTAAAACTGAACAATGCCCATAATTCTGTTAAGGCTCTGACGTCTGACTGTGACTCAATCGTCTGTGACCCTCAGACTGCATCACAAAGTAAGCCAGATTTTAAAACCAGCCAAGGGGCCGGCCACTTAAAGTGTCAGGTACCTATTTTAGGTGCAATCCCACCTCGCTCCAAGGTGAAAAATATTACTCAACAGGGTTTTTAAAAAGGGAACTCCACTCATTTCATGATGATGTTTCAGGTATTAAATCTTAAGGGGCTCGAGAGAGAGATGGGGACATAATAAAAACATTCTTACATACAGTACATGTTCCTGCTGATTGGGTAAAACTTCTGACACACCCACCAAACTCAAAATAATGTGATTATTGATTAAACATGCTAACACTGAATAGTTATATAAACACTAACATTGAAACTGAAATTGAGAAAAAAACCAACAACTTGCGAATTCAACTCAGAACCCGAAGCGATTCAATGCAGCCAAGTTTTCAGTCTGAACACTACTCTCATTAACTTCCTCAAGTGTTGTCACTTGAGTAGGCAGAATGATTTGACATTCTGAAGATTGCAAGAAACCTAAGAAGCCAAGTGTTTGGCTTTCTTGCTTAGATTTTCAACTAATTTAAAAATATTTATCCATTGTGAGTCGACAGTCGTAAAGGAGACAATGACATGCATGGTGGGTAATGTAGGCAACCGGTTTTTATAACAAAGGCGCAAGCAAGGGGTTAAGAAGACAACATTTTTGGTAATCTTGCACATATTTTGATGGTTTTGTTTTAGCCATCTATCATGACACTTTGCCGTCACAGGAATAATGACAATGACAGGCATTAGGTATATTCATATCTGAATATAGACTCATGGGAGCAGGAGTGCATACAGTCTGATTGAAGGCTTAAAGGACAGCACAAGGTAGCAGTTTTGGTGACATTTTTCAATCAGTTTCCTGTCTAGGTATCGACCACCCCCATCACAATGTCTCTTCTCAGGGACAGTCACAGACTCCAAAGGGCTCAGTCTTCTGTCAAGGGCCATATGGTACCGTCAGAGACGTGTGTGTGCTTGCGTCTGAGTGTGTCTGTGTGGGAGAGAGAGAGGCTCAAGGTGTCAGAAGGGAGGGTGGTTTAAATTTAACTGCAACAGGGCTGATATCTGCTGCATGGCAGGTTGTGTCTCTCTCCCCCCTCTGCTCTCTCTTTCTGACACACACACACACACACACACACACACACACACACACACACACACACTTACACACAGTCTGTCTTTACAGTCCCCAGCCAGAGAGATCATCACACACATACACACACACACACACACAATCACAGACACAGCAGCTCCCCCAGTCCGTCAGTAGACGCTCCTTTTCTTCTCTCCCACCTATCAGACCACCTGGATTGTACAAGGGGCCAGCTGAGGACGCGGCAGAGGAGGAAAAAAAAGGGTAGCAGAGCAAATATTCGCACTAAGGATAGCGATTCATCCGAGGCAGCGGGCTGAAGGCACAGCCAGTGGCACTGCAGAGGCACAGCAGCACTGAGGGCTAAGGATTCTCTGCAAGAGGTAAGACTTGGAGGCTGCGTTTATGTGCATGCTCAAACCTTGACAAAGCAATATTAATATCTCATATTTGGGAAGAAAATGAGGTTGCATCCTGGTGTGTTTGGGATTCGTCAGCATTTTCTGGGTCTGGAAAACATCCAAATCAAGCAGCACTAGGAATCCTGGCAAATGCAAAGTTATATGTGCAATATATTCAGATTGCTCTTAATAAAAAATCACTGTCTGAGATCATACATGCTTAAAGCTGCACCTGCTTTTCATTAATAATACATGTTCTGAAAAACTTTTTTTCTGCATTTAAGATCAGTCCACTTTGCTGGTACAAATATTCATATATTTTATTTTAAGGCAAATTAAACGAGGTTGCGTCATTGAATGTTTCGGTTCATCAGCATTTTGTATGTCCTTGTAATGAAAGTGGAAATCCTTGGCAAATTGTTAGTGATGTGCAATACATTAAGAATTTTTTTTTTCACTACCTGACATTTTAAATTACAAACATTCCTCCACTTTCTTAGTTTATTACACCAATATTGTTGAGAACAATAGCTGTAAAGTCCAGATGCACTAAAACGTTTAACTTGAGTGGATTTACAGGACACTTAGTGAGCGGGCTGTAATCTGCATTGTGGCAGCTTTTCTGCAAATTTGCTGCTAATTAGACAGATATAGAGATTAGAGGCGAGTAGAGAGACACTACCTGAAGCTTTTAGGGGGCGAGGGGCTCTCTGTTTAATCTGAGTGGATTACATTTGCTCTAACGGAGTTGGAATTAGCTGGAAAGGAAGTTCTTCTGCAAATCTGCACAGTATTTTGGGTGAACATGATGCATGTTTTTGCAGACTAACAGTACTTCTCAATTGGATTTGCTGGCCAGAGCAAAACATGATACTGCCCCGTGGTCAATTTGCCCACCACATCAAAGCTGCGGTGATAATTCATCCACCTCCTGTGCAGTGATACTCGGACGCTGGTGCTGCATCGTAGGCCGTATCCGTTGCAGCGAGGGAATTTCCAAAGGGCAGGGTGTCCATGAGAAGCCACAGCAGTGCCATACAGTATTTGAGTGCATGGGGGGAAGGAGGGGGAGGTGGGGGGGGATCAAATTACAAGTTTGGACGCAAATTAACAGAAGTGGGAGAGTAAAATGTCACACCAATAAAGCACTTTTAATAGAGAAACTAAGACATTTATATTTTCCACTTTAAAAATGCTAAAGCTATTAGCACGTGTTACCACAGGATCGTCCCGCGCACACATCCAGAGTTTGATGACGTGCTGGTATGTTGTGGCATGCTGACCACCACATACACATATAGTAAAAGCGGTGTTAGCCGGAAAAAGGATTAGCGAGGCTCTCGAAGATCGTCACCATGCATTTCGGTTATGAATAGAGAAAGTACGTTTATGGCTACATTAAGAGCTGATAAGTCATTTTAGATGAACTGTAACGGCTCTTGTCTGAATTACTTACAAAAGAATTGGACAAAATAACTAAAGGTATCACTCGTAGAAATACATTGTATGTTGTTTTTTCATTATTTTCTGGGTTCAATTGACTACAATACACTTCAATTGAAGCAACAGGAGTCAAAGCATTCCCCATACGAAACCTCCCCTCCTGTGAGTAAATATTTGGGTTGACAGAAGGACACCCCTTGGCGCTCCAGATGCAGCTTTAAAAGGCTTTGGTTTTGGTCATGTGACTGGAAGTGACAGGTTAATCTGTTTAAGGAGGTACGGTGGCGATGCGGAGAGCCACAGCCTTCTGTTGCTGCTAATCTGCCGTAAGCTTGAGAGAAGACGGACAACTGATTGATCAGAAATTGATTGGCTAGTATTCATCAAAGTTAACTTTATGAATTCCTGCACAAGAGCTCTTTCACCTAGAAGTACAGAAGACCGTTCATGTCCAGTTTTCAATTCCAAATTGACTGATTTAACCAAAACCAAAATGTTTTTGTTCACTAATTCATGTGGGAGGTTGTTTTAAAGAACAGTTGCAGAGGGGGTACAGGTAGCCTAGTGGTTAGTGCGCACACCCGATGTACAGAAGGTGCAATCCTTAAAGGGTACGGCCTGGGTTCGAGCTGTGGCTGTTCCATCAGGTCATTCCCCACTCTCTTTCCCATTTTCTAAATCTGTCCTATCGCTAAATAAAAGTCATAACCCCCCCCCCCCAAAACAAACAACAACAACAACAGTGATATCATGATTTGGTTTAAAATATTGACCAATTTTGTTTGGTTTCATGTGGGACTCCTGATTGGTTTTAACCTCTTAGACTCCAAATATGATTCAAATGAAACAACTACGATATCACTTGTTGGTAAGAATGCAATAACAGTGAGACAACGCCCTATTTTCAATATCAGAAGCCTAAAAACACTGCACTATATCAATTGTGAACATCTAGACAATATTTGACTCTTAAGCAGCAGTGAAACTTCCTTCAAACTTCTTTCCTTGCAGGTTTGATTGACAGATTGAGGGCAGTGGGGGCAGAGATCATTAAAGCAGACACGCATTAAGAAAAACCTCCTGGCACCTTGAGCTTCACCAGCTGTAGTTGGGATTAGATGGTTTGGCTCTGAGGCTTTATAGAAGGTGTTTGATTCATCAATGGGGGGAGCTTTGTGTTGCATGGCACGCTACGGTAAGAAGTGTGTGTGTGAAAGAATCAAAGCAAATCTCTCCTTGATTAGCTTAAACAAACATCAAACTAGACTGAAGATTGAATGCCTTTCCATCGACCTGAAATAACAAGATTTTCTTTTATGTGAATCCGTTAAACACCTTGCTACTTATTAAGTACTAAAAGTGCCTGAATATAAAGGGAAAAGTTACTGAACTTGCTGAAGTGTCTTGAGCTGACACTGTTTGCTGGTGTGATGCCAACAGAAAAGAGGAATCAATACAGAGTCCCATGAGATTATTGCTTCAGGGTGTGATGAAAAACAGTGATTAGAATTCCTGAGGTGTCTTAGACTGCGTTAATGGGATTTGTTGTTGAGATGAGCTGTGAGCAGAGTGATAAGTTGTATCATATTATAAATGGGAGATCTCTTTTTAATTCAGCAGTCAAAGTATCTAAGAGCTAATGTTGTTTTATGATTTAAAGTTGCTGGACTTGTAATTGCTTTGTGTGGGGGAGATGTAGAGAAAGGTTGGAAGAAAAATTTCAAGGGCACAAAGCAGACTGTAATATGTCTTAGAGCTATGTGCGTATAAAAGGTAGAAAGCTTACTACTGCCTTCTAAGGATAATTGGGTTCTACCGATAAAAACTAAAAGATATTTAAAGATATCATCTTGTAGATATTTCGACATGTTAACACAATTACAATGAATGTCTCCTTCATGATTGCCCAAGAGGTATTCTGTTTGTTTTTTCACTGAATGCATTAGACAGGTTTTAGTTACACTTTTGTTACAATAATACATTTTAAAAGCTCAAGTCTATAAAAGTGATCAAAGGAATACTGTCAAACTAATACCTGGACAGTGTGCCACAACATTTCTCTAAGGCTCAATAAGTGGGCAAAAAGGAATACCACAGGGTACCTGAGAGGGACCACTAAACTTTAACTCTGCTTTTTAAACTCTCTACCCTCACAAATTTGTTTTACATAATCTGAGTCCCCCAAGCTGTTGAACCCTATAAACAGGAGGAGATCACAGCGACTTGTTTCAGTCCAGGTATCCTGTTTCTCTCACAGAATACCAGCTGCACACAGCTCTGGGAAAAGAGCACTATATATATATCAAGAGAGAAAAGCCAATGTTATCCAACATCGGTACTCTCTGTGTGTCTCACAGCTTGACTTGCAGCCTGCTGCTGTCAAGTAAAGTCAAAATAAGAGCAGAGATCAGTTTATTGGGCATTGACAGATCAGATGGAGGTTGCTTTTGTTGAACATGTTCCCTATGAGGGCTAGTGAAGACAAGAATAAGACGCTTGTAACGTTTGAGTCAGTCATTTAGTCAGCTTATCAACTCTTTCGTTAAACAAATTGCCTTTACATCAATGTTATTTGTAGTTTGACAGAATCAAAAGAGCTGACAGAAAGAAGGGCTGGCAGGAGAATCTCCTGGTAAAATCAGAGAGAAAAATGTAGCTTAACTGCCTTACCCTTATAAGCAATAAGTCTGACATGCTATAAAGTCTACACCCTTGGACTAATCCTCTGGTAAAGAGCTAGTTGTGGCTCCTACACTTCTCTCAGCCCTGGAGGTTGCAGTTTAGAATTAAAGTATAATTTTTCGTACACTCTGTAAAGGGTCCTTCTGTTGTCTTTATGCTGCATTTTATTACTGACACGTTCCTACAGATAAGCTTTTCCCCCTGAGGTGCATCACTGCAGAAGCCTCTTGACTCCAGGTGCATAAATAATTCACATCCATATCTCTTTAAGCCTTAGCTGGACCAACTGGTTCTGTTGGGATTTGCTCATATCTGTGGAAGTGTTAAAGTGAGTAATGCTTGTACAGAAGCAGCATCAGGACACCATGGAGCATTAGTGATGGATGGCTGCCTGTGCTGCATTTAAAACTATCCGTCCATGTGGGCAATTTGAGGCTCAGATATTTTGGTGTTAAAATGCAACACGGGGAAAACCAAAGAGACGAAAAAGCCACATACATCAGTGTTCTTCTTTGAACTGGATTTGAAGTTTAAATTTTCCCTGAATCATATTTCGTAAAGTACAAGAATATGCTCTTCTTGGATCCCTTTTTTAACATATTCTTAGATGGTGTGAAATGACGATCTTACTATGACTGCTTTTACAAGAAGAAAGAAAAAGAAAATCATAGAAGGAAGTGAGACAGCAGAAATATTTAAGAAGCAGAGCAAACAAATCCAGTTTGAGATGGAGAAGTGTTACGGGATGAGGCACAAGTACAAAAAGGAAAACAGAAAAAGACAAGAACTGTGTTGAAAGAACACTTCAAAATATATATTTATATAAAAACTGCGCTCAGAGACAAAATAATCTCAGG